AAATTAGAAAGAAAGATTTGCTCTGCCTCAGTGACGACTCTCTTCTTGAATAAACGGTCAAGGAGCTCTTCGCTGGAGCATCTGACAATGGCATTAAGGGAAAACAGAACTACAGTTAAATGCTTATTTTTACTTTGTAACCACCTCTATCCAGCTAACAGCAGAATTCACGAGGTGATCTCAGGCAACGTGATGTGCATGTAATTCGTTAAAGTCTCTATTGCAGCAGTGTCCTTCTTGCAGAATTGGGCTGCTCTAAACCTGTGATCCCTACAAGCAGGAGCACGGTATCGCTGGTGCTAAAATCTACCTGTTGGCTATGGGCTTTTCTGCCCTGCACTGCATTTTCCTGGTGCTCACCCAGACTGGATCTCATGGAAACAGAGTCCTTCACTTCCAGACATTTCAGAAAAGAGTTTTGGTGCTTAACAACTCCTTCACGCTTGTATATACAAGTATCATGATTTTTCCTAAAACAGCAGAAACGTAGTACTTCCCTGAAGATGTCACAGAGCTATGCTACCCTGCAGTGCAGAGAAAGATTGTGCGTGTCCTTTTCTCTCAGCAAAACCTAAAAATGGATAATTGCTTAGTTATTTCATAAATGAGCTCTACCTAGTACTTCCCAGCCTCCTCAGGCAAGCAGCACAGAAAAGGATACAACTCCAGAATCAAAATCAGTGTTTTCCGCGTTTCAAACTGATCCAGGAGCCTGGTAATTCTGTCATGGGACAGAGAGGCAAGAATATCCCTCTCTTGATGCGCTCGAGCCTTCGTTTTGCTTCGTAGAGGTATGAATTTGGCAGCACAAGACACTCTGTTCCCTTTGTGTACAACTCGTTTCACAAAGCTGAAGCAGCCCCTGTGTAAAAATCAAAGGACAAGCCCTGGTTGTTGGTTCAGACTTGGTTCAAAGCCCTCTGCACAGCAGGTGTAGACCTTTCCATGTCCCAGCCTTTGACAGCTCCCCACTGCTCAGGGCTTAAATTCTCCAACGTAAAAAGCTCATTTTCCTGTATGTGAGGTGCTATTGCCCTCTCCTGGCTGTCTCCAAAACTAAGCAACGAGTTCACATCAAGGGAAAAGCTGTTTCAGGTGATACAGCCTTGTGCTGACAAAGGCTGATGCTCTTGGATCCCTTGGACGGACACGGCGCTTGTGCATATGTCGCTATGGGCTTGTGATGCTAACATTGCCAAGAAGCCATACCTGGCCACCTATCCTGCCAGCCTCTGGCTGCTATTTCTTCTGGTTGGAGCTACCTGGACCTATGGGCTGTATGGACTCTCCCATCCTCTGTCAGAAACCTCAGGAAAGTGTTTCCAGCACACCTGCAATGGGGTGACCTCCCACTTCTGCCAGTACTTCCATCATTTCAGACTTTTCCACAGCTGGGCCCACCTCTGCCTCTGGTTACACGTGCTCAGCAGCTCAGGTGGGCAATGAGATATTCTCTGGCAGTGGCACTATAAAGTTGGAAAATCCATTTACCTTCCAATCTCCTGCTTAACCTCATAAAGGGAATGGAGCTTTCTCCTGGTGGCCACTTTCTTTGCTGCTTGGTCTTTCTTAGCTTTGGAAATGAAGGAAAATATAAGTGTTAATGCTCAGACAACAATGCCTTGCTAATAGCCTGCAAAGTTATTACAGGGCAATTGAAGGCAGGAAAAATTACAGGGGTCCTCTAAAGTTCTGCACAGAATTAAGTGGAGCTGTTCGATGACAGAACCTGTCAATATGAACTTTGGGGCTGCATCTTCACCTGACATAAATCAGAAGAGCCAGGCTAAAGAGCAGACCACCACCAGAGACATGGCCCCACTTATTTCTGTGGCCCATTGTATCAGTTCGTCATGTAGCCTGAAGCAGAGAGAAAAAAAAAAATCTCATTTGTGTGTATACATATACGTAGATCATTAGATCAATTGCTCTTATATTGGATCCTGCCATACTGGTAATATACAAATGCTACGCAGGAATACAGATCAGATACCATATGGGTACCAGAAGACGACTGCAACAGAGTACGTATTGCAATGGCTATGGAAGCAACTCCTGCAGCTGAAAGAATGGCATTACCTTCGTGTATGATAAGCTCTGCTTTGCACAAAACCTCCCCGCCCGCATTTTTGGCAACACAGGTATAAACACCACCATCTTCCGGGACAGCATTGTCCACGACTAAGAAATATGTTGTTCCCTCCTTCCCTTGACGGAGCCTGTTGCTGTCTGTCAGCAACGAAGTGCCCTGAAAGAATGAAATGACATTTTGGCACGGGAAAAACCAAGATGGAAACAGATGTTTCTTCTCTTCAAGAAACAAGATACAGGAGCAGAGCTACAACACAGACCGTTCAGGCTAACAAATCTCACTAACAAAATCCTGGCTGAAGAAGTCCCCCATGTCTAACTGTTTCTCTGCTTCCACATTACCCAATAACATTTTTGTTTCATAACCCATTCGTAGGAATACAGGCTTGGGAGGGATCACCAGGGCTATGTGGTTTATTCTTCAGCTCTCCCAGCACACCATGCCTGAGCAGTCGGCCCAGGGAGCACGAGGATCAGCTACTTTGCTCCTGCCTGGTCTCCAGCTTGTGCTGGCACTTGTGCTGCGTAATATATTCATAAACGCTATGAAAAAAGGGACAGGAGGGAGTGTGTGTGACACAGAGAGCAGATTATGAAGATTTGCAAAAGGACCTTACAAGACCACCTGTCTGGGCAGTAAAATGTACATTTAAATACATAACGTATATAATACAGTAAATGTAAAGTGATGCAACCCTATTCCCCCACATGAAATGTCAGTCTCTGAGCTGTTCCTTATTACACTGGAGCAAAACTTTGAGTTACAGTAGATCACTCCGTGGCAGCACCAGCTCAGTGCTTGGCAGCAGTCAAAAAGTACCAGATGTTAGAAATTATTAGGGAAGAAATAAAGAATAAGACAGAAGGCATCATCTTATAAACCCTTGGTTTGCCCGGGGTGTGGTACTGTTGCAGCAATGTTCTTTCTGTAACAGCTTCCAGATGGGGATTGACAGAGCAAGTTGGGGCTCTTCAGCTGGAAGGAAGCCTCTGGCAATATAACACGATAGAGCTGTACGGAATTATGAATAGCCTAGTGAGTGGGCAGGGATTAACTTTTCCTGGTACAAGACGTAAGAGCCAACACATGAAGCTTGTGGTAAATATGTACAGAACAGCCCAAAAGAGGTGGTACTTCAGGCAGCATACTGTCATTGGGTTGAACTCCTTGACAAAGGACACTGTACATGCAAGACGTTTGCGTGGGTGCAAGAGACTAGCTAAGCATGCGGAGAGCTTTACTGTGGGTTAGTAAATAGATAAAAGTTCAGCTAGCTTGCATTAACTCTGAGCTGAAAATGTCAGAGATTGCAAGAATATTAACAGGGTGTATCATATATTCTCGCCTTGTCCTTATTCTTTTCAAGGTGTTCAGGTGTGCACATGTGCATGTATGTGTGTGCGTGGGAGGGGGGTCTTTGCATTTGCCCTTGTTTTTTAAGGTTATTTTATTTGTCTGAGTAGCTCATCCTTGCACTTCCCATACAAAAAAAAAAAAAAAAGGAATAAAACTTGTGTGTACAAAACACTTAATTGGACAGAAGAGTTACAGACAATCATTATAGAACAACACTGGCTTATTTCAGGGGCACGACAATATTAGGAGGAATAATAAATTACTTCTCCTTCCTTTCTATGGGATATTCATTGTCCGTAGTCACACTCATTTTGCCAATTAGCTGCAGAAAAGATACAGAGCTTGGAAGTCACATCATTGACAATTGGAATAAACCACTCTTAATCCCATCCCTGACCCCAAAACTACAGTGCATATCTTGGTGGCTCTCAGGCAGGAACCAATCTCCCTTCCTGCCCATCTTGGTCCCCAAAACCGTCTTGGTTGCCCTCTCAGCAAAAGGAACCACAGTAACACTGGAGACAACACAGGGTGAGATGCGTCGTTGGTGGTTCCAGCGAGAACTGCAGCTGGTTCAACGAAGTCTATAGATATGACCCGGAATCAGTGTAAGAGGTGTGGGATGAAAGAGCAGAAGAAATTCCCCACAGAAGTACTGCACTACAGTCCTTTCTGTGGCCCTCACTCTCAACCGGAGAAAAGTCTGCACTTTTACTTACCTTAAACCACAAAACAGTAGGCTGAGGGGTTCCTTCAATGACTGCCTGAAATTTGGCACGCTCGCCCGAATTCACCTGCACATCCTCTATTGTCACTTGCATATAGGGAGGACCTGGTGAGACACAAGGGTTTGCTGCATGCACAATACCATAACTTTATTCGTAGTGTGCTGATGTAGGTCGAGTTACTCAAACGGGATTTATAGGACTGGCCATTTAGGATATATCATTAGCTTAATGACAAATCAAGAGATATCACAGCAATATATTTGGGTTTCTTGATACTGGCATTACTTTTAGGCTTCTTGTCTTCACGCTTCTCTGTTACTTTCTGCTTAATAAACAGTCACTGATCAAGAAATGGAAGTATTTAAAAAAAGTCATCAGGAGTTATTACCAAAAGAGAAGACAATGACAATCATGGGAGGTGGGAAAGGGAAACAAGGGTCTTACTTACTTGTTGGGGTCTTCTCCTCAGTCTTATACACACAAGTTCTTTCCGTGGTCTCAATATAAACTTCACTGTGTACATCCCAGACCACATCTCCTTCTCTTCTGTACCAGTCTCCTGCCCCGGCAGCTGGTGATGTTCTTTCATGAAGCCCAAGAGGAAAGATCATTACATAGTCACATACAACTGCAGAGACACAGGGTTACACCCTGCCACTGATCTGTGTGTTTAACCACCAGACAAATAATTATTTACTTAAAATTAATACAAAAAGAATTTTGTTTGGGGGGAATTAATTTCTCTCCAACCTTTTCTGTCCTTCTTGCACAATGCATGTGTGAACAGGATTCTAAAAACAATAACAAACCTACAAGAATCAGTTCAAGTCACCACCAGCTTCCTCCACCACGGAAGACTTTCTTTTCTTGCAACAAAGTCTGCCACATTCGGAAATCTGTATATTGAGATGGGTATTTACCTGGTAATAGGAACAGTCCGCTCCTGAGTGCTTTCATCTCCAGCAGCTGTCTCTTCAC